TATGTCTGTATTAATGGAGGAATTTGTGATCAAGCTATTGCTGTTAGGTACCAACTCATAGGGACCCTACGTTTAACAACATGAAATGTTGTCTTGTCCTGAGCCATCCTCATAATAGAAGGTATGTTTGAGTCCATTGTTGAAGCCACTGTATTAATCCATTGCCTGATGGAAAACACCAGACTAGAACCAAGCCCATTGTTTGGATTCTCAGGAGGTTTTAAGGTCTGATTTTTCATAAAGTGTGTATCCCAGGAGTGAGGGTATGTTTTCTGTTGATTGAGAGCCAAGCACTCTCATCGGGTGTTTTTTTTTTTTTTTTTTTTTTTCCGTTTTTCTGTAAACAAAGGTGGCAGTGACTACTGAATGAGCTTGTCTATTAAAATGGTCCCATAAGCCAAGCTGCAAGAGGAACCACAACAGGATTCAGCTTTTAAGTTAACAGGCAAAACAGTTTGCTGATGTTCATTGTTTCCTTTGAACGTAACACAATGAGTGGCCGGAGCCCTCTAATAACATTCCACTTTCTCTGTGTGTGCTCTTCATTCGGTTTGGAAGTCAACTCAGGAATTCTCTGGTTCTGGCACTGTGCTCGGTATGGTTGTTGCGCTTAGCTGCCAGCAAGTTGATCCCCCAACTCATAGTAACCCTGTGCACAGAGGAACAAAACACTGCCTTGTCTTGTGCCAGCTGAGTGATGGGTTGCAGATCAGACATAGAGGATAAAAAAGGAGGACAGGGTCCACGGCTGCCCTCAAGGAGTTTACAGTCTAACTGAAGCCTAAGACTTGTCAACAGAGCAGCTATGCTTCAGGCTGAGTCCAGAGTCCTTGATGCTTTAGAGGCATTATCACTTCAGTCTATGCAACAACCTCTGTGTTAGGAAACTGTGGTAGAGGCTGACTTCTCCCACCCCAAGATGTCCACATTCTAATCCCTGAAACCTATGGATATGCTCCTGACAGGGCAAAAGGGACTTTGCAGATGTGATTAAGGATCATGAAATGGGAGGACAATCCTGGATTATCTATGTGGGGCCAATGTAATAATCACAAGGGTCCTTATAAGTAGGAGGTCAGAATCAGAGAAGAAAATGTGACAACAAATGCCATCTCAGAGTGTGGTGATGCTGTGGGAACTGGCTATTGCTGGCATTGAAAATGGAGGAAAGGACCATGAACCAAGGGATGCAAGAAACAGATTCTTCCCTACAGCTTCCAAAAGGAACCAGGGCCACAGACACCTTGATTTTAGTTCACTGAGAACCATTTGGACTCCTGACCTCCAGAACTGTAGAATAACTGACATTATTTTAGTCACCAAGCTTGTGGTCAGCAGCAATAGTAAACACATTGTTGTTGTTGTT